ACATTTATACAAATGATCAGCTACTGTCAGAAGGGACAGAGTTTCATCTATGCTGATGTTCGTGCCATCACCACTCAAGCAGGGAGCTTTGAAATGGTTGAACAGAAGCTCCCTGAAGCTTTAGGTGCTCTTACTGCCTAATACAGGGAAGACCAAATGATTCCTAATCCATCTAAAAGCATTTTATCTTAAGAACAGACAAGCATCTCAAACTCTGAGGATGACCTGGGAAGGAATCTCACTGAAGCATTGCAGCACACCAAATTACCTGAGAGTCACTCTGGACTGTGATTTACAACAAGCAGTGCTTGAATATCAAGCCAAAAGTGGGTGCTAGAAATAATATCATATGAAAGTTGACAGGCACAACCTGGGGATCACACCCAGAAACAGTGAAGACATCTGCCCTTGTGTTTTGCTACTCTGCTGAATACGCATGCCCAGTGTGGATTACATCTCACCATGTTAAAACAGTAGATGTGGTTCTTAATGAGACATGCTGCATCATCACAGGATGCTTGTGCCCTACACCGCTGGATAAAGTATACTATTTAGTCAGTATCGTACCATCTAATATCCACTGGGAAATAACAGCCAGTAATGAAAGGACCAAGGCACTGACATCTCTGGCCCAACCTCTGTTTGGATATCACCCAGCATTCCAACATCTTAGATCAAGAAACCACTTCCTAAGATCTACAGAGATACTCACAGGAACACATCAGCAAGCGAGAGTCCAAAAGTGGCAGGTTAAAACCTGGAACCCTAATCAGTGGCAGATACCGGATGAGAAACTTTCTCCAGGGTACACAGAAGACTGGGCGACTTGGAAGGCACTGAACTGACTGCACTCCGGCACCACAAGATGCACAGCTAATCTTAAGAAATTGGGCTATAAAGTGGAGTTCACAACATACGAGTGTGCAGAAGAGTAAAGCACAGACCACCTACTACAATGCAGTCTAACCCCTGTCACATGCACAATAGAGGACCTCTTTACAGCAACACCAGAGGCACTTGAAGTGGCCAGCTTCTGGTCAAAGGAAATTTAGTATAATACCAAGTTTTTAACTTTGTTTGTGGTATTTTATACATTACAGCTGTTTCCTCGATTCACTTCTGATACGATAAATAAATAACCCAAAACTCAGGGAAGAATCACGAGTAATACAAAACAAAGTGAAAATGAAACAGTTGATGGAGGGAACCTCAAGGAGCTAGTTTCTTAGTACGGGCACAAAGTGGCTGGCTTCCTCTATCCAGCTCATTTAACAGAAAGACATCTTCATGCAACATCTCTTTCCCAGATATGTATCTCTTCACTACATCAAACTTCCCCATTTCTCTTATCAGCCTGCTGTGTGCATGATTTCTTTTTTTAAGCGACAAGACAGAACCTTTTGGTGGCAACATAAGGATCAGAGTGGACACAAAAATGTGTTTACACAAAAGCTAATCCTTAATTTAATCCTTTTTATTGTATTTACAAAATGCAATGCAGTTCTCTCCCTGGCCAAACTAGCAGATTACAAAAAAAGGAAAAAAACCTCTTAAAAAACAATGGAAAGCCTCAGCCCTTTCCCTCTTCTGCAGTGTTTTCCTGTTCAGTTATTCAATTGTTTGGGTTGTGTTTACTGGACTTTGTAACCCTCTTTGTTAAATTCAGCTACCGTTGAGATCATTCCTCATCCCAAGAAGATAAAGCTCTGTGTTTTCTCTCAACATCTGCACAGGGCAGCTCTCCAAGATCAAGTTTTCTGTTCATATCTGAAAGTGTTTCTTTTATGAGCTTTCAAGCATACATTTACATTGAAAACAACAGCAAAAAAGGCATGTGAAATGTGTACTTGGTTCTCTGTCCTGAAAACAATTAAATAATTTTGCAAAATTACGAAAGAAGCATGTTTTCCAGCTGCTGTTTATGAATGGCAGTTGCTAGGTTACTGCTATCAAAGGTATAACCAAGTTTCATAGATACACTTTGCTTGGTCTTGCTGATCTTGGCAACCAAGTTAAGGACTCTGCCCTTCGGCTATCTGATTAGAACAAGGTGATGAGACAGGAAATACTGTCAGGCAAAGTTTAGGTTAATCCTTCTACTCAATGGGGTTACACTCTAGTGAAAATGCAGGTTGGCAACTTGGGTGTACCCAGTTCAATCCTGAACCTGGAACTCTATATATTTAACTAGTTTTATTTTTTTAAAATAGTTTATTCACTTTAAATTAAAACTTAATCTGTTTTGGACTCAAACTGGGAAATAGGTGGAATAGAAATAAATGAATATAAAATAATAAATTATTTCAGTTAAATAAAGTTGTCAAGCTTAGTAAGTTTTATTCTGAAGAGTTGGCTATAAATCAAGGATATGCTATCCCTTGAAAGGATTGAAGGATCACTTGCCTTATATTTTCAGATGCATACAAATATAGACATGAGTATATAAGTGTATATTAATTTAAAACATGTACAATATAGCTAAATTTGTTAGAGAACTGGCATTCGCTGCAGCTCCTTCATGATAACAAAATCCAGGCCTGTGGCTAAATAATGTATGGAAGAACATCTGCAAAATGGTGCACAAACTCACAGCACCTAGTTGTTGGGTTGTCAAGGGCCTCCTCCACCTTGGGTGGTGGTGGTGAAGGAGTTCCCCAATGACCCGAAACAACTCCAAAGATCTATTGGATGCAGACGCTGTACGGGTAGTCATGAAGGTCTCCCTGGCTACCCGTATAGGCCCTAAGTGAGGCTCTAGCCCGTGTCGGAAACACCTTGAGATTTCCTCCATGTGCACTCTAGCCTCCTTCTCGTGCGCTTCATCACTGCCAACTCCCCAGTGAACCAAAGAGATGGTGTGTCTCTACGCAATGAGATGGGGCATTCAGGAGAGATCATGTCTATCACCCTGGCCATTTCACTGTTATAGTGATCAACCAGTGTGTCAACAGAATCGCCAGGCTCCATGACAGGAAGAGCCCCAAGATTCCTCAGGAATCCATCCGGATCCATCAGTCTCCTGGGGTGGATCATCTTAATTGATCCTTCACCCCTGCGAAGGTTAGAGGCCACAGCAAGTCTAAAACTGATCAGGTGATGGTCAGACCATGACAATGGAATAATATTTTGCTCTTCCACTCTGACTGTTCCGCTATCCGCAACAAAAACTAGATCAAGTGTTTGTCCAGCTTGATGGGTGGGTCCAGATATAACTTGTGATAGCCCCATGGTAGTCATAGCAACCATGAAGTCCTGAGCCGCTCCTGTTAAAGAGGTATCTGCATGGATGTTAAAGTCCCCCAGCACAATCAAGTGCTGGGAGACCAGAGCGGAATTGGAGACCACATCTGCTAGCTCAGGCAGGGAAACTGCTGGGTGGGCGGTACACCAGCAGAATCCCCAAGCTATCACGGTTCCCCACCCTCAGGTGAACACACTAAAACCCAGAAGATTGCAGTACAGCGTTCTGACCACGGCAATGGACTGCCGAAAGAATACTATGACCCCTCCTCCCCGCCCCCCAGACCTAGCCTGCTGGTGCACCCAGAAACCAGGTGGGCATAGCTGGGTGAGATTTACCCCACCCAGCTTGTCCAACCAGGTCTCAGTGATACAAGCCAGGTCCGCCCTCTCATCCAGGATCAAGTCCTGGATGGCAGCAGTCTTTCCATTGACAGATCTGACGTTTACCAGCAGGACCTTAAGACCGGGGGGGGGGGGTCTGTTATGGAGTCTACCACTTCCTACCTTCTCCAGGGTCGCAAGAACTCTGTTGCGCTTCTCCCTGGTGTGTTGGTGATGACAGTTCTTCTCCCGCACCCAACCTGAATGGCGCCCAACTCCCCCAGAACCCCTCCCTTCCCCTGAGGGTTGGGATCAGTGGCTAGTCAGCTCTCTAAAAAAGGGGAGCTAGGTCGTAAGTTACTTTGAGGGTCATATGTGTGTGAGGATGTTTCCTAAGTCATAGTGGAAAAGGAAACATCAGGGGAACTCAGTTCTTGTGGGTTTTTTCGGGCTATATGGCCATGTTCTAGAGGCATTTCTCCTGACGTCAGGAGAAATGCCTCTAGAACATGGCCATATAGCCCAAAAAAACCCACAAGAACTGAGTGATTCCAGCCATGAAAGCCTTCGACAATACATCAGGGGAACTATCTATCTATCTATCTATCTATCTATCTATCTATCTATCTATGGTTGGATGGCTTTGATTACATTTTCTTGCCCTGATGAAGTGAGTTGGATTGGATGGTCTTAAGTATTTCCTGTTGGTCATGGGGGTTCTGTGTGGGAAGTGTGTCCAATTCTGTTGTTCGTGGGCTTCAGAATGCTCTGATTGTAGGTGAACTGTGAATCCTAGTGAATACAACTCCCAAATGTGAAGGTCTATTCCCCCAAACTCCATCTGTGTTCATATTTGGGCGTATTGAGTGCTTGTGCCAAGTTTGGTCCAGATCCATCATTGTTTGAGTTCACAGTGCTCTCTGGATGTAGGTGAACTACAACTCCCAAACTCAAGGTCAATGCCCACCAAACCCTTCCAGTGTGTTCAGTTGGTCATGGAAGTCCTGTATGCCATGTTTGGTTCAATTCCATCATTGGTGGAGTTCAGAATGCTCATTGATTGGAGGTGAACTATAAATCCCAGCAACTACAACTCCCAAATGACAAAATCATAATTTTTTGAGTGATGGTCACTCCTTCTGTTGTGAGATGTTTTGTTGCCAAATTTGGTGAGATTTCGTTCATTGGTTCTTTTGTTTTTAAGGTAGTAATTATGAACAGAGCATTTTTAGATAGATAGATAGATAGATAGATAGATAGATAGATAGATAATAGTAATAGATTCTCGTACCTGTCCTCTTTTTTGGGAAGGGATTTGTTTCATTTCTTGCCACAAAGCAGTTTGTTGCTGGTCAGTTTACTAATATGCAATCATTATAATGCAACACATACTTCATAAGTAATTTTCCTTTCAATATTTCAAAAGTTAATTTTTATTTTAAATAATTCATATTAAAAGTACGAAGATTACAAAATGAGTGCATTTCCTTTTGTAATGTTATTACCTACAAAACCTCTTTGTCTTAAGAAAAAAGAACCCTCTCCAATAAAACGTGTAAATCAAAAGTATCCTTCTGTGCAAATAAATAAGTCCCAGTTTTATATATAAGAACAGGACATACAGAATCCTACATTTTGTTTCAGTCACTTTGTTAAAAGGCTCCCTCAGATGCAACAAAATCATAAAATTTATTTGTCAGAAACCATTTCATAAGAGGTCACTTATACATTTTCTTCCAAAACTAATTTTTGGGATAGTGATTAGCTTTCCAGCCGACATTTTATGACGCAGGTCTTTTTGCAGGAAGGTTTGAAGCAAACGCATTTTTGGAAAATCAGATAATCCTCTTCTTCTCAAACGGGTTCCCCTCACTGGTAAGCTCAAAATGGTTCCCTTTCAGGAACTCTCCAAAAAACCCATTATCTTCTCCTACATATTTTCCGGCCATTTGACTGTTTCCCTGTGAGAAGAGGAAGATTCCGTTTACCATCGGACTCCTTTGCAGCTCTAGCTGTTACTGGTTTTATATAAAAAGAATAATCTGTGCATGGCCATCCACATATATCTGCAGATTCTTCAGTTGACATTATTCCTACTTGAAGTACAACAAGATGAAAAGACAGTTATTCCATATAAACAGAGGCAGGGTTGGGTAGTTATTTGTTGCTGGAAACCAATGTTGTCTTTGAAATGTCAAATTATTAGGATGATGCAGGCATGCTCCTGACAATTCTTACTCAACTGCTCTCTTCCAACCATTTGGTATCAGATAGATATGGCCTGTTACTGAAAAGGACATCCTTAAGTGTAACACCACATAAAATGTCAGTGTCCAGATTTGATCAGACATAGTCCTGGAGTACAACATTGAACATTACCAAAATGTTCTTTACATGTAACTTTCGACTATGAACAGCCTTCTATAGAAATAGCACCATCTTAATGTCTGAAGTATTAAAAGGTGGAAAGCCAATTTCAGAGCCCAATTTGGACTCAACCAGTACATAGTTGCAACTGATTTGCAATTTTTCCTTTTAACTTCGTTGATCAAGTACATCCTGTAATCTTTCTGTAGAAATTAGTATTGTCCACTGCACATTTCTTCTGGAAATGTTACATATGGGAAATAATATCCAGAGGAGATGGCCATTCCTGATGCCCTTCCTGGTAATTAAAGTCAGACAGGAAGTGATCTAAGAAGCAAATGAAAAGACAAGTTGTTATTGCTATTATTATTTTTGTGACTATTATTTTAAAAGAGCAGTGTCTTAGTATAGTGTCTCTCCATGAACYAACCCGGGCCTTTCGATCTTCGGGGGAAGCCCTCCTTCCCCCSCTGCCAAACTAACAGGCTCGTCTTGTGGGCACAAGGGAGAGAGCYTTCTCCTCTGTGGCTCCCMRACTCTGGAACTCATTACCTGGAGAGATCAGGAAAGCCCCTACACTAGAAACGTTTAAAAAGAACCTTAAAACTTGGCTCTTCCGCTGCACCTTCGGCGAGTAGGTGCACAAAACGACACTATTGCTCCCCTCAATGCTTCTGTCACTGGAGTACACCCCCCCCCCACAAATGGGAAGTTTAGTTTGACAACCCTGTGTGTGTGTGTCTTTATGAGCTCCCTGCAAATAACTTGCTCTTATTTTTATCTCATTAGAGTTAACATTTTATCCCGTACATGTGGCCGGCCCACTATTACCTCGACTGTGTTTTTGTTTATTGTAATGTTATTTTGTGTGTGTGTGTGTGTATATATATATATATATATATATATATATATTCTTTCTTTTATGTAATTTTGATCATGTTGCTTGTTTATGTTTATGTTTTGTTTTTATTTTGATGTAACATGTTGTTTGGGCTGCTCCCCATGTAAGCTGCTCCGAGTCCCCATCAGGGAGATGATGGCAGGGTATAAATAAAGATGATTATGATTATGATTATAGCTTATAATGTAAAGAAACGACATTTTAAAATACTGGGCTAGAACTGTCTTATATTGTATATCTCCAAGGGTGCCTTTCCACCTGGTACCTTTCAGATGTTTTAGACTACAGATCCCATCACCTCCAGTTACAATGGTCCATTGCACAAAAAGCCATGATATAAGATACAATTAAGAATCAAGGCTTATGGATAAGATGTCTGACTTTACAACCTCAGAGCCACAAATGCCATTGGGTTGCAACTCCCATTATACTCAGTATGCATGGCGGATAATCAAACGTGATGGGAGTTATTGTTCAGTAGCATCTCAGGACCCAAAACGGGTAAAGACTAAAGAGCACTGATCATTATGTTAAAGTTGCACGTGAAACAACAGAATATCTAAACAGAATGTGTTAGCATTTACTGAGCTATTGGGAAGCCTGGAGCAGCCCACACAGACCAAAGATTTTTGTGTGTGTGTCAGGAGTGACTTGAGAAACTGCAAGTCACTTCAGTTGTGAGAGAACTGTCCGTCTGCAAGGATGTTGTCCAGGGGATGCCCAGATGTTTTGATGTTTTGCCATCCTTTTGGGGGGCTTGTCTCATGGCCCCGCATGGGGAGCTAACAGACGGAGCTCATTCATGCTCTCCCCAGATTTGAACCTCCAACCTGTCATTCTTCAGTCCTCCTGGCACAAGGGCTTAACCCATTGCGCCACCAGAGGCTCCTGACCAAAGAAATGTATGACTGTCTTTGCTGCACCACTTGTTTATCCTATTAAGACCATTGTTATTGTGTCAACAAAATGAGGCACAGCTATACCATTGTAGCAGTATTTCCCCATTGTCATGCCTGAACTGATCTCTTCCACACATATCCGATAAGAAGAGCTAACTGAGCACCATGATGTGAGTGTTATGCCTTATTTGAAGCATCGAAACTCCCTCTCTCAGTTTATCTGAACATAGGCTTAGTATACTTGAGCTTACTGAAGGAAAAGGTCCAATGTAACTAATAAATGTAGTTAACAAATAAAGAGATTTTCCTTTTGTTCAATACTTTTACGTGTCTATTGATCACTTGCTAGAGTACAATCCCACATTACGAATGCATTTATTAACTTACTCTGATATGGAGGAAGGTTCAATGCTATCTGGTTGTCTTACTTCAGGTAACTCCTAAGAATGGTAACACAAATATATGAGATACTTACTCTCCCATCCAGCAGATGCTACTTTTGTGAGGTTTAATTTTAAGCTTGGATTAAATAAGCAGAAATATATCTTCAGAATATTATTTAGAATTCAGTGTCAAGAGATGCAAAACTCTATCATGTAGGTGCCACAAATTACCAATTCACGCTCTAAATCAAGACAAATCAGCTCTGCCCAATATATTTTTGCAAATAAAGTGACAATGACTATAGCAACTGGGAATCTAGCATCTATATTCAGGTGAATTTTAAAGATAAAATTCTTCACTATTTTTCTTTTCAATAAAGAAATTAATAATTTTAGCAATTTTCTTTCCACAGGAAGAAACTTTTTTAAACCCCCATTTTTCAAGTCTATTCAGAATCTGGAATTTACTCAGTGCAAAATTTGTATGCTGGTGTTCCATACAAAAATTAGTATATCTTATGTACAAAATACCACCTGTGCAGAAAATAGTGTTTTCTATGCATAAAAGCCAGTGGACCTGATGGGATCCCTGTTGAAATTTTGAAAGATGGTGGATTTGAGCAGACACAAAAACTCTAGCAGCTCATTGAAAACATGTGGGTGACCCAGAAAATCTCAGCACACTGGAAGGAGGCCTCTATCACTACCCTTTTCAAAAAGGGGGAAAGAACTGACTAGAAATTTTTCAGGTATCTTCTTTTTGATCTCCATGGGGAAAATCCTCACAACAATCTTTGCAAATCTACTTCTACTTCTACCTATTTTAAAAATCATCCTTGCAGAATCCCAGAATGGCTTCCACCCCTATGGGTCATGGGGGTTCTGTGTGGGAAGTTTGCCCCAATTCTGTCATTGGTGGGGTTCAGAATGCTCCTTGATTGTAGGTGAACTATAAATCCCAGTAACTACAACTCCCAAAAGTCAAGGTCTTTTCCCCCAAACTCCATCTGTGTTTATATTTGGGCATATTGAGTATTCGTGCCAAGTTTGGTCCAGATCCATCATTTTTGAGTCCACAGTGCTCACTAGATATAGGTGAACTACAACTCCAAAACCCAAGGTCAATGCCCACCAAACCCTTCTAATGTTTTCTGTTGGTCAGGGGAGTCCTGTGTGCCAAGTTTGGTTCAATTCCATCGTTGGTGGAGTTCAGAATGCTCTTTGATTATAGGTGAACTATAAATCCCAGCAACTACAACTCCCAAATGACAAAATCACAATGTTTCGAGTGATGGTCACTCCTTGTGTGGTAAGATGTTTTGTTGCCAAATTTCGTGTGATCTTGTTCATTGGTTCTTTTGTTTTTAAGGTACTCGTTCTGCACAGAGCATTTTATATATATAGATTGTCCTCCCAATGCTGTTATATGCCTGAGAAACGTGTACCATCTACAAACATCATTCTCAACTTCTGGAACAATTTCATCAACGTTGTCTCCGAGAAATCCTGCAAATCATTTGGGAAGGCAGGCCAACAAATACCAGTGTTCTGGAAGAAGCAAAGACTTCTGGCACTGAAATTATGATTCTCTGCCATCAACTTTGCTGGATTGGCCACGTTGTCCCAATGCCTAATCAAAGCAGTTACTATGCTCTCAACTCAAGAATAGAAAATGGAATGTTGATAGACAGCAAAAGAGATTTAAAGATGGGCTTATAGCTAACTGTGGCATAGACACCAAGAACTGGGAAGCCCTGGTCCCCATGCGTTCTGACCGGAGGTCAGTTGTTACCAATAGTGCTGTGGAATTCGAAGAGGCACGAATGGGAGGGCGAAAGGGAGAAACGTGTCAAGAGAAAGGCACATCAAGCCAACCCTTGTTGGGACCACCTTCCACCTGGAAATTGATGTTCTCACTGTGAAAGGACTTGCGGATCAAGAATAAGTCTTTACAGTCAAGAATAAGTCTTTACCTGTGGACCTACTACCAAGATCCTGCATTGGAAGGCAATCATACTCGGCCATGAGTGATAGCCTATGATGATGATGTCAAAAAATCTTATTGTGCATCTGATTTTTCTATCCAAATGTGGTAGTTTACATTTATCCCAGCAGAAATACATTGTTGATGTTTTGCCTTGCTCTTCAACCCGTTAAGGTCACCAGAAATCTCGCTTCTGTTCTCTGAGGTATCAACTACCCCTCCATCTGATGAGCACACACTCTCTGCCATCCATTCTCTTTCATCATCCAAATAAAGATGTTGAATAATACTGGTCCCAAGACAGAACCCTGAGATGCTCCACTTTTCACTTTTCTCCAGGATAAGGAGGAACCATTGGTGAGAACTCTGGTTTCAGTCTGACAATCAGTGACAAATCCATCCAACAGTAGTATAATCTAGATTGTATTTTACCAGTTTGGCTATGAAAAATGTCATTGAAATCTCAAAATTATGTTATTTTTATCCCGATCTTTAAGATGAGAAAGTTGTAAATAGCAGGAGCACTAAAGAGGGAGAAGGGTAATAATAAAGAGTTACCTGTAATGGTTCCATTCTGCATGTTTGGTCTGATGTTGTCTCTGTGTTCGGTTCCTGACGTATCGTATGCTGTTTAGATCGATGCTGAGTCATGTATTCATATGTATTCATCTTCTTGCTCACTGTATGCACAGGAATTATTTTCCTTTGTTAAATGGGAAAACTATAAATTCTGGGTGCTCTGCAGTTCAGGTGAACAACATTAAAGTTGGCACATATGAACCTCATCCATAAATGCAATCTGAATTAACAGTCACTGATGTGGATTTCAGTAGAATGCCATTCATATTAAAACAAGCAAAATGGACGCCATAGACCTGAATCTTTCTATTAGTCCCAAACAGAGCAGACCCATAGCATTTTCATGAGTTGCTTTAGGTTGGGACAAATAGGATTCAGACCACTATGTTGGAAGAGATTTATCCTCTCACCAGATAACCCAGAAGAAATAGAAGAACTAATATGCTTTTATTACAACGATGCCTCCAGATGTAGCCATTTCATTTTCCCTATTTTCATGATGTGAGGAAATAGCGTGTACCATTAAGTTGGGGCAAAATGTTTTTTTCGGGTTTTCAGCCATTTCAGACTCTGCTAACTGAGAATCAATATAGACACAAGTACCACTAAAATCAGTCACAAAACGTAACCAAAATTAATTTAAATTAATACATCAATGGTACTCCATTTTTTCTGAGATAAAAAGTTATATTAATAGAAATACAGGCTACAAACCTTGGAGGTTTCTAGCAATGCCTTCTATAAATGATGTTGAAGCTGTTTGCAATTTATAATGTAGATTTCAAAGTATGCATGAATGTTTAAAATGCAGTAGCTATGTGCCGAGTGTAATGTATTCCTGTGTGGAAAGAGTTAACTGAACCATGGAGGGAACGGCATTCCTAGAGAGGTCATAAATCAAGTATGTAGAATGAATGGACACAGCGTCATACGTCACTCTGGAATGCAGGAGGTGTGGACTAGTACTGATAACAGTTGAAGAGTTCGCGATGTTACGATTGAACGGTAAAGAAGCAAGTTTACGATGTGCTGAGTGTTAAATAACTTCTAATGTATATAGCTGTAAAATAAAGTAGTTTATAGACTAGGTGGCTGTGATTGATCTGTTCCTGCCTTGCTGTACTGCTGAAGTCACCAACAAATGATTGTAGGTATTTATGTAGCTGCTGCTTTACCCTGTTGTTCTGGGTACTGGCAGCACAGTTGAGGGGTAACTGGAGAAAAAATTGAAGAAGTGTCATTATCTTGTTGAAGGCTTTCATGGCTGGAAACACTGGGTTGTTGTAGGTTTTTTGTGCTATATGGCCATGTTCTAGAAGCATTCTCTTCTGACTTTTCACCTCTGAGGATGCTTGCCATAGATGCAGGCGAAAAGTCAGAAGAGAATGCTTCTAGAACATGGCCATATAGCCGAAAAACCTACAACAACTTAGTGTCATTATAGTTTCTTTCTCCAGCAAAAGGATATGAAGAACCCTGAAACCGAGATAATGCTGATATTTTCAAGCAAGGAGATAATCTTGAACTTTACTGAGCAATCTGGGTCAGTGTTATGTTAGGGGTGTGTCATTAGCTCTTTGAGTGGCTAGCCTACCGGCTGTTAGGAATGGTTAGAGTTGAAGTCCAAAACACCTGGAGGGCTGAAGTTTGCCCATGTCTGGACTAGACCCTACATCAGCCCCACTCCTGCTGATGACCAAACACAGGAAGAAATGTTAGCATAATATGCCAGTGGCTGCACCATCACAGCTCTTTTTATTAGTTGGTCTTACTGCTTGTGTTGTATTGGCAATTTTTGTTGCCACCTAGTGATGTAATGAAGAAGGGTCAGTGTGTTTCATTTCTTTCATTATTTTTCAAAGACAGGCTAGCCACTCAAGTAGCCAATGACACACCTCTAACATAACACTGACCCAGATTGCTCAGTAAAATTCAAGATTGACAAAGCATATCAGGTGCTGCAGTGCTGCTAATATTTCAGAGGAAGGAACAGCCAAATCCACCTCTGAAAATTGCTGGACTAAGAAAACCCTATGACATTCAGGAATTTGTTGTAAATAACCTTAACTTGCAGGTTAACACTTAACTTTAACTTGCAGGTTAACACTTAGGAAAAACTATCTAGCAAAATCCAGAGTTGTCTTCATCTCACCTCTAGTAACAAAGAATGGAGTAAACGGACTCTGGATACCCCTGTCTACAATAAAGCTAATTATTAAAATTACCAATCTATTATTTGCTGTTCAAGTTTTGTGTTGCAGTTCACTGCTATTTCCTGTTGGATCCCTGTTCCTATTAAAAACTAAAACACCTCGAAGAACTCTTTTACTCACAGAGATAGAGATGAAACGCAAGTAAATGTCCAACAAGGAGGAAAGATGCAGATCCCAGAACCACACTTAATGTTGCTAAAGCCAAAATTGCAACTGCTGTTGTTTCTACTGGGGCGAGAGGAAGAAATACCAACCAAGTGTCATTTCCACGGACACCTGTTGAAACAAAAAATAGAAGGAAATGTCAATTTTTTTCACACTGCAACTATCTAATATATTTTAAGCAAGTTATTATAGGTGGATTTTACCCTTTCCCCTGTGGTAATATAAGATAAGTTCTATAGCTCTTTTCTAAATGGCTGTTGCAACCAGACTTAGTGAATCAAGACATCTTGATCAAAATATTTTTACATGGCAAAATAACTTTTAAAGATCTACATTATGTTTCAGAAAAGGCTATTTTCTTGAAAATTTCACGTGTGTGTGTGATTCGTCTTTCCATGTTTACAGTGTTCATATTCTACTATCATGGAAACAGCCTCCCCCCCCAATACCCCCCACCAAACAAACAATACACATATTATTCAGCTTCCTCTTCTCAGAAGGTTTTCCATTATGTTAAAAAATGCCTAAAGCAAGGAGGAATTCTACATATTTGAATCCCTATTTTTCACTGTTGATATGTCACCCCATAACATACTCATTTGTTTATGTAGTAGAAATGGATGAAATGATGTGAAGTATATAAAATAATACAGCTGTATCTGGAGGTTTTCCAATTATACATTCCTTCAAAGGTGCCATAGGAAGGAATTCATACTGTGAAGTGCATCCAGTGTATATGGTTACTCCATGGAAGGACTGGGATTGTGGCGCAGCTGGCTGAGTGTCAGCTGCATTAAGATCACTCTGACCAAAAGGTAATGAGTTCGAAGCCAGCCCGGGTTGGAGTGGGTTTCCAACCAATTGTGTAGCCTGTTGTCGACCTTTGCAACCCGAAAGACAGTTGCATCTGTCAAGTAGGAAAATTAGGTACCACCTTAAAGTGTGGGGAGGCTAAATTAACTGATTTATGAGGCCATAAAGAAGACTCCAGCAAAGCATTTCAGCGGGGAAGCATGTGGGGAATGCGGAAGTGCTTCATCAGCGTTGCAGATGGACGATGAAAGCAACAGCTCCCCTGGCAGCCAGAAAAAGTTAAATAGCCTCTGTGTATGTCTGTATATGTTTGTATGTCAAAAATTGGCATTGAATGTTTGCCATATATGTGTACACTGTAATCCGCCCTGAGTCCCCTTGTGGGTACTTAGAGATATTATCTAAGAAATGAGTACGGACTCCATATCTGTCTTTTGTGGCATGGCTGCTGCCTTTTTCTTTGCTCCAAGACCCATGTTTAAACTGGTGTCACTACTGAACATGAAACAAGTTATTATAGAAATGTGCATTGGTTATTTAAATAATTGACAACGTTTTATCTCATTTTCTTCTTTCCCTCTAGTAGTATTAGATTGCATTAGTGCAAAATATTATTTTTAAGTTACTTGAACAATACTTTCAAACTGAGGCGATGTGCGGAGTTGTGCCGGATTCACAAAATACTGGATGAAGACATATAGCATCATCAAAATCAGTAAAAGGATCCCAACAGTAGCAGATACAACAGCATTGAAGAAAAACCTATACAAAAACACAAAGAATTCTTGCTAGCATATGGAATTATACAGTTGCAGAGAAAAAAAGGTGCACAGTGCTATTAGTACAACAGGAGACAACAGGGACTGATGTAAATGCTTTTCCTTGTTTCTATCGGACACACTTCTCTTTGCAAACAAAGTGCTATGTAATTTTTCCTGCATAATACAAGTAATTCTTAAATAAAAATGCATATATTTAAGATCAATTAATAACCGTCCTGTCATATTTGTGAGTGTTTTGAAGCTATTCTTTAAACCTAAGCAGTAATTGCACATTTTGCACATTTTGACAGTATGGATGAGAAAAGTATGGCCCACAAAGCTATTTTTCTGCCACCCAAGGATTTTCCATACTATAATTCTTGGGGGAAAAATATGCCTATGCAGAATGGGTGGCAATTTTACAACCTAAGGTTAAGAAAATGCCTCTAGAACATGGCCATATAGCCCGAAAAAACCCACAAGAGCTTCTGGACCATCTTCAAAGGCAACCCCATGTAGAGCGCGTTGCAGTAGTCTATATGGGATGTAACCAGAGCATGGACTACCATGGCCAAGTCAGTCTTCCCAAGGTATGGGTGCAGCTGGCGCACAAGTTTTAACTCCGCAAATGCTCCCCTGGTCACTGCTAAAATTTGAGGTTCCAGGTTGAGCAATGAATCCAGGATCACACCCAAGCTGCGAACCTGTGTCTTCAGGGGGAGTGTAACCCCATCTAACACAGGCTGTAACCCTATGCCCTGTTCGGCCTTGCTACTGACCAGGAGTACCTCTGTCTTGTCTGGATTCAATTTCAATTTGTTAGCCCTCATCCAGATTGTCACAGTGGCCAAGCATTGGTTCAGGACCTGAACAGCCTCCTTAGTAACAGGTAGGAAGGAATGACAGATTTGGACATCATCTGCATACAGATGAAACCGCACCCCGAAACTCCGGATGATCTCCCCCAGTGGCTTCATGCATATGTTGAACAACATAGGGGACAGTACTGCACCTTGAGGAACCCCATAAAACAATGGTTGTGGGGTTGAACAGGTGTCCCCCCAGTAACATCTTCTGGGTACAACCCTCCAGAAAGGACCGGAGACACTGTAAAACAGTGCCTCCAAGGGCCACTCTGGTGAGATGTCCCAGAAGGATACCGTGGTCGACAGTATCGAAGGCAGCTGAGAAGTCCAGCAGAACCAATCAGGTGTGTCTATGTCCATGATACAAAGAGTGAAAGAGTTAATTAAAAAACCTGCCAGGTATTTGTACTTTGCACTGTTTGTGCCTGTTCACATACAATATGAATTAAGTGGTTATCCAAGAATAGAAAATGCTTTCGATTTTAGTTTAGAATGATCTTGTTAAGTATTGCACAGTAATTACATAATTTATTTTGTTTTGTCATTCATCCCAGTAACTCTTTATATATTTGTGTATCTGATGCTTTGAAGACATAATTCACACACTCCCATGACCTTTCCGCAAAGTATTTTTATTGCGGCACATAAATTTAGTAAATAAACTAGCACTGTATCCCTGTTTCCTTATCTGCCTTCTGTATGACTAGGAGAAACTCTAGCTAGTCTGGGATAAGCTTCAGTTTCCTTGCCCTCATCCTTTCCATTACTGAAAATTGACAGTGACTTAGCAAAATAACTGTTTTCTATAGGAGAAACAAAGCTCGGTGTCATCTTCAAAGTGTGGCAACAAACCTCCAAATTTCTAACAACTTCCCCTACCATCTCATGGCTGTCATGGAGGACAAGAAATCCCAATTAGAATTGACAGCATAGCCCCCGTGGAAATTCAGGGGGCTTCAACAAAATTACTTACTATAATGAATATGATGTAACCATAGAATTACATTATAACTTATTACCGTATTTTCCGGCATATAAGACAACTGGGCATATAAGACGACCCCCAACTTTTGCAGTTAAAATAGAGAGTTTGGGATATACTCGCTGTATAAGACTACGCCTCTTCCAACGTAGACCAAATAAAAATTTAAAAAGCATCAGATTTGATTTCAATATGATAATTTCCCTATCACTGTACCGCCTTCTCTGCCTCTCAAATCTCGCACATGCGCACCTTTACTGCAGTCTTCAGGAGCGAGATCTGAGCAGCAGAGGAGGACGTATGGTAATAGGATACAAGGGCGGGCAAGACAGGTAAAAGAGGTGTGTTTTTCTGGGCTCAGAGCCACTCTATCTCTTTTTTCCATATCGCGAGCACCCCGGACGCCTGCAGCTTGCTCCACCCTTCACTTACACCTTCCTGGTGAGGCACCCCTTCACCTCACCATTGGGACCGCATTAAGTCCACGAATCCTGATGAATGGATTTTCTTCTACTGTAGTTGTACGGTGTCACCCTTAATGCTTTCATACAGTCACTGCATATGGCAGGGATGCGGCCACTGCCATTTTTTAGCTCCCCCCCCCCACCATATTCGCCAATCACAGATTCTCTAATCTGGATTGGAAGTTTCAGTACCCGCTCTATAAGACGACTCCCGGTGTATAAGACTACTCTCACGTATAAGACTACCCTGCGTATAAGATGACCCCTGACTTTTGAGAAGATTTTCTTGGGTTAAAAAGTAGTCTTATATGCCAGAAAATACGGTATATTGTTGTACTGAAATCTAACTTTTTTGCTATTTCTAAATAAAAGAAAAAAAATGAAAAAAAATCTTGTACTTGTGAACTCACAGAATATGTGTGTGTGTGTGGGGTATTAATCAGCTATTCATTGCTAATCCCCTGATTAGCAGGTTAGATAAATGGTTAGTTAATCAACATATCCATTTAATTGTTTATGGCAACAGTTTGACATAGATTCCCTCAGGACTAAAATGGACTCAATGGGGAAGGAGAGAATAAATTCTGTCCCTCTACCTTCCACTGCATTACAGCCTTCTAGACAATAAACATTTCCCAGCTTCTACTGTTAACTTACCAATAATTTCTGCTTCCAACACAGTTATTAAGCCAATTGCAATGGTGGTCGAAGTCTGCAATACATTTATTGCAGGTACTACAGTGTTTAGTTTTGGGTCCACTAGGGAGAAAAAAAAGTGAAATAAAATTCAAGCCTTATGAGAACGCATTCAAACAGAGGATAAATTTCATGAATTGTTATTGGAAGGATTATTCAGTCATATAAGATAATGCACACGGCTCATATACAATTCCAGTTAGCACCACATAAACTCATAAGCACTTAATCAAAATCATAACAGTTAAATATATTTATTTTTATGATCAATTCACCTTTTCCCACAATGTAGCATCTCAGAGCATGAACCATTGGTATAACCGGGATTGTGGCACAGCTGGCTGGGAGTCAGCTGCATAAGATCACTCTGACCAAAAGGTCATGAGTTCGAAGCCAGCC